GTTAAATGGAATGGAAGTGAGGCTGGCTGGTAGGTGGGTATGATGGATGGTGGATGGGGGGTTTGAAAGTCTGCTCTGGCTTGGCTTGGTTCTAATGGCGGTTTAATTGATTTGATTCCTGTCTTTTCTGGCGCGCGTGGAAGAATATACCTACCTACTTAGGTACTCGTACATGTCGACTGCGTGTCTCTCTCTCTCACACCCACTCACTCACTCACTCACTCACTCACAACAACAGCGTCGTAATACCGATCTCATCCATCCATCCATCCAGTCCAGTCCATTCCCTCCCCACCACCATCCCAACCGCATTACTCATGCCACATAACCCCTCCTACGCAATAAACGCGCCACTCCCCCCGACAACGCCGGCACTCCTCCCCGCATCCAAAAACAGCCCCTCACACTCCTCCACATCCGCCACAGCGACCATCTCCCTGCCGCCCACCTTCGCCAGCACGCTCGCCGGCGCAAGCAGCTGCAGCGCATAGCGCAAGCTGACTTTGACGCCGAGCTCACCGACCTTCTCCAGCGCTGGCTCGTCGATCTTGAGGCCCTCGGTGCGGGCGCGCGTGCGGATGATGCTGCGGATCTCGTCGGGCTGGTAGGGGTGCGTGGGCACGATGAGCAGGCGCGCGAGCAGGTCGGGGGGGAGCCCGTGAGGCGAGGCGGGCAGCGTCGTTTCGGCGCCGCGGATGGGGCAGAGCCCGCGGTTGGAGGCGAGGATCACGATGGGGGAGATGGTGGACTCGAGGGCGCGGTTGAGGTAGGTGAAGGATTCGAGGTCGAGCATGTGTACCTGTGTTGGTGGGGGGATGGTTAGCTGCTTGTTGCGTGGTGTGTGGGTGTGGGTGGGTGGACTTACCTCGTCGATGAACAGCACGCCCGGAACAAGCTCTGCCACGCCCTGGTCAATGTACTTGTTGACGACCTTGTTGATCTCCTGGCGCAGCTTCTCGGTGATTTCCGTCTTGCGCGGCTTCATCAGCTGGCCCATCATGCTCATAATGTCCTGGCCGCCCTGGGGCCTTGCATTCGCGACATCCAGATCATGCAGCGTGACGTCCTGGACGACCTCCTTCTTCTTGTGCACGTCGCCCTTGGGCACGGGCACGTACTCCTCGGCCTCGAGGTCGAACTCGGTGGCGTAGGCGTCGGAGCGGCCCACGCGCTTGACGGCGCCCGTGTTGGCTTCGATGTAGATGACGTCGCCCAGCCGCACGCGCTCCTTCTGGATGGCCTCGTAGATGGACGGGTCCAGCCGCAGCTTCTTGGTCCCCTTGGCCGACTTGAGCACGATGATCAGGTGCGCGATTGTGCGCCCGTAGCCCCCCAGCGGGTTCTCGGCCTCTTCGGGCGTCAGCTCGGTTACCTCGCCCTCGTAGACTTCCTTCGTTTCGCGGATACGGAGACCTGCGTCGCAAACACCGTCAGTTCGCTCGATCGAGTACCACAGCTTCGTGCCCACCAAGTCGTACCGATAGCTCTCCGGAAACACTCCATCAGGGCCTCCGTCTTCTTGACCTCAGCGGAGTAAATCTCGCTAGCCACAATCGGGCAAAACGGGACCTTGGTGCCCAGGTCGTGCGCGACAGCCATAGCGAGCGCCGTCTTTCCGGTGCCAGGCCCACCAGCCAGCAGCACAGCGCGGCCAGCCATTTTCTTGGCGCGGATGAGGTCGACGACGACGCCGCACGCCTCTCGTGCGGCCGTCTGGCCCACGAAGCCCGAGCTGTTCTTGTCGGCGATGCCGTCGCTGCGCAGCCCCAGGCCGCGGATGTGCGAGTGCGCGGCCGTGCGGTTCTCGCGCGTGTTGCTGCCCTTGACCTCGCTGATCTGGACGGGCGCCATTGTGGTGGCGGCGGCAAGCGGTTGTCTCGAGGGGGTTCGGCGGGGGAACAAGGCGTCGAGGGTCGAGGGGAGTGCGGAGATGGCGAGCGCGTTGTGGTGGTTGTCGCTCGCAGATGGTGTTGCACGGAGGAACTGAGGAACTCCAAAACGTCTGCGACGCGATGGCTGCCAAGACGAGCGGACAGTGTTCTTAGCGCTACGGTTGTACTCTTTTACTTCTATTCTAGTTAGGTACTTTGAACCATTGTCGTAAACGTCCCAAGGCGACTTGAATTGCTCGCCCTCGAGATCTTCGTTGGTCTGCTTTTGAAGCTCCGCGCACGGGCCTTTGCGATTCAATGTTTATACTACAATAACATAGCTGCTACATCCTATATCAACGCCAAAACACACTATCAGGCTCTAGTTACATATATTTACACATGCGCCCACCGAGCCTACACCCACACGCCCACCCCTCACCTCCGCAACCTCGCGGTCGAGGGTTTGTGTTTATGTCGTGTTTGGAGGAAGAGGGAGAGAGAGGATAGACTCCTCAATCAATCGTCCTCGCCGAGGTCAAGCACAATGGCCCTATACCGCACACCAAGAAACCGCGTTAAACCAATCCGAGCGAATACCACCGTCTTACACACACGTCTGCACGGCTTCCACGCCACACCACACCACCCTAGCAGAGAGGAACAAGACTTACAGTTTCGCCCCCCTGCTCACACTGAGCCCCTCCTCCTCTGCCTCCCCCTCCCCCGTCGCCCCCACCCCCTCCAAAGCCTCCCAAACCGCAACCCCCTTCTCCCAGTCCTCATCCAGCCAAACCTCAACCTCACCATCCTCCCTCAGTCTTCTCACCTCCCGCGGCCCCCCAACAGCACCCCAGCCCACATCCACCTCGCCGCGCAAAAACCTCGCCAACGGATCCAGCAACGCACCACGCGCGACCTGCTTCTCCCTCTCCGCCAGCCCGCCCCTAACGCCGTTCCCCAAGAACCACAGCGCCAAGTCCGTCGTATGCGTCGCGCCCCACCCGGGCGGAAACATGGCCCTCGCGCTCCGCGTGACAAAGTCGACGCGGTAGCGCAGCAGCACCGGCGCCTCGCCATCCCGCCACAGCTTGTCCGCGAACCCGCGCAGCAGCGCGTGGATCTGCACGTCGGCGTACACGCGGCCGAACGCGTCGCGCCAGTCCGTGGCGGGCGGCGGCAGCGCCCCGGTGGGCGAATAATGTCGTATCAGCGCGTCGCACGCCGCGGCCGGGTAGTCGACCTCCAGGCGCGCGGCCAGCGCGCCCAGCGTGTCCGTCGCGGGCGGGTACCATCGCCCGTACACAAAGTGCTCGTTTGCGCACTCCCCTGCCAGAATGCGGATGCCGCGGGCGCGCAGGCGCGCGCCGAACGCCCCGCTGTCGATGTCGGGGTACAGGGCGTGGGGGGCGAAGACGCCGTCGGCCACGGCGCGGAACTGGTGCATGGGGGTTGAGCGGGCGGCGGCGAGGAGGCGGGGCGCCGGGGTGCGGGCGAGGCGGGCGACTTTCTGGGCGCCGGGGAGGTCGGGCGGGATGTGCAGGCGGGCGAGCAGCGTGTCGAACTGCTCTTGGGCTTCTTGCAGCGATTTGGGGGCCACGCCGGGCCCGTTGGACCACATGATGACGCGCTTGATGATGGCTTTGGAGCGCGGCAGGTACGCGTCGTACGCCAGTTGCTTGAAGGCCGAGTGGCTGCCCGCCGAGTACCCGCCCACCGTGATGTTCCCCGCGTCGCCGCCAAAATAGCTGACCGTATTGCGCGTCCACTCGAGCGCAGCGCGCTGGTCCCAAAAGCCCAGGTTGCCGACGGGCTCGCCGGCCGACGCGGCCTTGAGCTCGCGACTGGCTAGGAACCCAAACACGTTGAGCCGGTACGCCGGGGCGACGATGACGGCGCGCACGGCCGTCTCGCTCAGCAGCGCTTCCGGATGGAGGTCGTTTGCGGAGCCGACCTGCAGGAACCCGCCGTGGATGAAGAAGAAGACGGGCCAGCCGCCCTTGGGCGCCGCGCCCATGGGCACCCACACGTTCAGCTGCAAGCAATCCTCATCGCCCAGCGCGTGCGCGTGCGCCGCCTCGTCGTCACCGTCCCGCGCCGCTGCTGCCGTGGGCGCCGGCCCAGGCACGCTCTGCGGACAGATGCCTGCGCCGCCCGCAAACCGCCCGGGTGCTGCGCGCGTCCCGTACTGGTAGCACGGCGGCAGCGGGCGCGGCATGCGCCAGCGCTGCGGGGGGAGCGCGTACGGCAGGCCGCCGAAGTAGCGGCAGAGGGGGCGGGAGGACGCAGCGTCGCGGATGGTGACGCCCTCGATGAAGCCGCGGTGGCCGAGGTCAAGGAGGTAGGGCTCCCGTGCTGGGGGCAAGGGTTGCTGCATTTTCGGTGTGGTGGCGGGTGCGGTTACCGTGAGTGCATGTGATGGGATGGTTTCTGAGCATATAGTTAGTGCTGTGCGTGCTGGCGATTGGGGATCTGGCAGCGCCGGTCTTGCTCCTACTTAGCTGGCTTGTACAATTGGCTTTCGTGATGTGGTGTATTTACATTGCGGAGAGGACGGGGATGTCGATGGAGGTGCTAGGTTGGGGGCGGGCCGGCTCGGTGCCGCACGCACCCGGTCGGTGGCAAGGATCGTCAGCTTGCTCCGATGTCCGTCGTTATGTTTTATTCGTTCTTAGAATATGCCTTCCCGTAGCTAGGTAGCCGGCTGTGGTGGTTGCGATGATGGAAGATGGTAATACATGTACGGAGTAGAAGAAGAGACCCAGCTAAGACATATAGAGTGTATATACTCCAAGACCTTTTCTATGCCTAGAACTCGGGCTAGGAGAGCTAGGTAAGGAGTACTCTACAGGGACTACTTAAACCGTCCCCTATCTCGCTATACGGCAGATCTCGGTTCGCAACGACGGACGTTGTATACTCAAACCTCCTACTAAACACCCCTACCCACCTCCCTACCAATCCCTCCACTCCACACGCACCCAAGCCAAAAGAAGTCCACAAACCAAAACTTAATAACACAAGCTACCAAAGCGACAACAATAACAACAACAGAGAAAAAGATAAAGATAAAATACAATGCAATGTTATTTTCTGTCCTTCTGCCCATCCAACCAACCAACCATCCGCCATGGAGCCAAAACAACGCGTAGTGTGGAGTAGTGCAGTGCAGTGCAGTGTGGTGTAGTGTGAGTAGCAAGCTCGCCGGCCCATAAGTTTTAGTTTTGTCTGGTTTTCTATCATACATGAATGAAGGCCGAGGGGTCGTGTGGCTGGCCGGTCTGCTGCTTCGGAAGCTTGAGAGCAAGAAAACGGAAGGAGCAATTAGAGAAAGGAAGAGGAGAGGCCTGCGGCTAGTTGTTGCTGGTAGGCCGTGGTTTTTGTGGGCAGTGTCGATGCGGGGGTCTCTGCTTTTGCTTTCTCCTGCTTGTCGAAATGTCGGAACTTGTTTTGTCTTGCTTTTTTGTACTTTTCTTTCCGTTGTTGTTGTCGTCGTCTTGCCCGCAGTATCAGCCAGCCATCCGTAGGCCAGGCCGTCCGAACCATACCACACCGCCCGCCTGCCCGCCCGTCCGTCCATTCGTCTATGCATCTACGCGTCCCGCTCGCTGTACCATCGCTCGCTCTCCACCGTCAGTTTCGTACAAATCAGAGAGCCCACCACCTCGAGCCCCAACACCGCCCCTGGCATCTCAGCACGCGTACACGAGCAATTGCAGCTTCAAAAGCCCCGCCCTTGCACCAGCAGCCAGCCAGCAACAGCAGCAACAACCTACGCATCCCTCCCCCACATCTCCCTCCTCCTGACCCTATCCTCCCTAGCCTCCCTCTTCCTCCTCCCCCACCTCTTCCTCGCCTCCTCCAGCTCCAGCGCCTTAGCAGCCCCCCGCTCAGGCGCCGGCGCCACCAATCCCACAAAGAACTGGCTGCAGTCGAACTTCTTAGCAAGCGCCTCTCGCGTCCACACAGCCGGGTCATCGCGCCTCAGCCGCCGTATCTCCTCGATATCCGCCTCGGTCAAATGGTACTTCTTGGTGTAGGGCGCGCGCACAGGCGGGGGCAGCGCAGCGCTGTTAGTGGGCGTGGCGCGCGAGGGCGGGAACGAGGCCGCCGACAGCGGCGTCCCCGTCGCCGTGATGGCCGAGTAGGCGTTGTGCGCGTGGCTGGCCCCGTCGCGTGCTCCCGTCAGCCGCGCCGTCATGGCCGCCAGCTCCCGGCGTCGGTCTCCCTTCGGTAGGAACTTCACGGGCGTGTGGGCCACGTTGGGCGCCGCCGACGGCGGGTTGTACACAATGTGGTCTTGGGTGCGTGATGCTGGGGGCGTAAAGGCCGGCGACCCGGGCAGCCGGTGCAGCTTCGTCATGCGGCGCGTCGTCGATTCGTGCCGGCATTGCGTGAGGCTCGGGCCTGCTGCCGCTTGGGTGGTTGGGATTGAGGTTGTTGTGGCCGCTGTCGTGACGGCGGTGCTGCCGCGGACGAGGATGCTGCTGCTGGACAGTTGCAGCGCCGAGGCGGACAGAGGCCGCAGCGGCCGCGTGAGGAGGGCGTTGCTCATTGTGGATGCGTGCGGCGTTGGGGCATTGGCCGGTTGGAGAGGTCTCAATGGGTCAAATTCGCTCGCCGGCGATGGCCGCTCTGAAAGTTTCGAGTTTCTGCGCGTCGGGGTGTCTGTCGCCGGACCGAGTCAGTTGATGGGCGATGTCGTGGCCGTAATGAAGGTGAGGGAGCGACGTGCGGCGGCCACGAAATCAACGACTGACGACAAAAAGCACGCGACAACCCGCTAGCGCATCCTCTGATCTGTGCGGGGACCTCATCGCATCCGCTGCGGGGACAACAAAAGTAAACACTGCTTTCTCCCGTCACCAGTCCAACGAATAAACATGCAAAAGTGACATTCGAAAGCTTCTTCGTAGTGAGGTCCATTTCGTCGCTTCTCCATGTGCTCGCCTCCATCTGACCCACTATCCAGAAACTCAGATACTACCATGTGCTGGGCCCGCAAACAAAAGCAACAACATAGTTTAGCGGGGTGAAAAGGTGACAGCCTTGTCGAACCCTGGGGCAGTAGCGAGGGCCTCGACGAGGACCTCTGCCTGCTCGCGGAGGGCCATAACTTCCTCCTTCAGTGCAGCTCTCTCAGCAAGAAGCTCGTCAATGAACTCCGCCACCCCCCCGACAAAATAACCCCGTTGAATCTTCTTGGCCTTGGCTGCCTTGACGCCGCTGTCAAAAGCCACGCGAGTGAGAGCCAGGGCGCTCTTTGTCGAGCCCGCGCAGTAATAACCAGTGTCGAACTTGCGAGCGCCCTCTGTGGCCTTGGCGCGGAGTACCATGACGAACGGGTCTTCGTCCTCTTCAGATAGAACCTTGACCTAAGTGGAGGTTAGCAGCATGTCTTCACCCGCTTGTGTTGTGGAAGTACCCACAAGAGCAAGGCTCTCCTTAGCCTCGGCGGGAAGGTCCTGCAAGCTGCCGTTCATGCTGTAGTTGTTGGCACCATTGGTCACCGGGAAGACCTTGCGGCGGCCGAGGGCGCCCAGCTTCTTCATGGCGGCGTCTGTGTAGCTCAAGAACTCATCGCTGTCCGTGCAGACATGCGGATGTGGGTATCGGATGACGGCGAGAGCCATGTCAGGCTTCTGCTCCTCAGCAGCAGGGGTAGTTGGAGGTGACATGGTCGGCACAGGTGAGGCGGAGTTGAGCTGCCATGCAGGCGGTTAGCTGGCTGATGGTTGACAAGACGGGATAGCACAGAACAAACTTACTTGGCGTCAAGGGAGGAGCGGACTCCGGGGTGAAAAGAAAGGGCTTGTTCGACGTCGAACGTCGCCCTGCGTGGGTTGACGAGGGGGGAATGGAGGTTGATAGGTAGAAGTGGAAGCGCGTGTTTTGAGCTTCACCTGCACGTCACGACGGATGACGTATCGAGAGCAAAAGGGCAGTCGCGCAGTCACCCAGGTGAGGCGGTCAAACGGTGAGTTGCGAGTTCCCGGTCTCGTTCCACGTCCGCATCACCTTTCAACAACGCTCATCAATTTCTCGGCGAACGGTTTCATGACATCCACAAAAGATGTCAATGACTCTGTCATTGCTTCCTTGGCTGTTAAGGTCACACTGCTCAGTTGTTTCTAAAGGGACCTTGTTCTTTTCCTGACACTGGTCCTTGTCTGTACCAGTCCGAGTCATGACAACGTCTTTTCTTTTTGTCACTTCAGCCAGCACACCCAGGCAACAGTCTAGGATAGCTGGCTTCCAAACCTTATGACTCTGGACTGTTTAGGATCCATCCTATGTCACGCGTCCTCTACTCAAAAATTTCCTCCGGTCGGCAAATTTCACATGCAGAAGATATTTGTCGCTTCAATATGGAGCATTGCGATGTTCTTCTAGAGGAAGCATGTTCATCTTCCTCTATCCGGCACAGAGGTCACTCCGAACGACACTTTTCAGGTTTTTGCTCTCAGTGTGAGCTTCTAAAAGCTTTCAGAGCTCAACTTCGAGAGTTAACATCCGCGAAAATTTTGGCTTCAGGCAGCACATCAAGTGTTAACTGTGATGATACTGAAGGAAGGCAGGCTCTCAACAGTAGGTACTTACATCCATAGGTGGGCTTTTATAATCAGCTGCGTAATGGCAATACACGATGAGAACAGACTGAAAAAAGTGTATTAACCTTGTAGTCATCGTTCCTAACACAAGAACACTTCCTACCAGCACGGCAATGACGAACCTGAGTGCTCGAGCCCTAATTGTCGACAGGAAACCTTGATCCTGGCCCGGAAAGTCTTAATCGCAAGCACCCAGGAACCAAGATCAGTCTCAAGGGCATCCGACAACCTCGATTTCTCAATGCCTGTTGGCACTTAGGCATTTGCCCCATATGGAAACTGCTGATGAATCCCCGAAAAGACTTCCAGCTCATACCAACGTCGATTTTGCACGGAAGACGTCTGCCGAGAGCAAGCTCACCGTCTTGTCAATACGGGACGGTACTCTGGTGATCATAAGGATATGGGATCATGTGGCAAATACATCTGCCAAGAGGGACTGTCAAAGTGCGGAAGACTGCTCTTTGCCCTCAAGCTACCACCACTGCTACTGTGGTACTAGTCAGTTCATGCTGGGCACATCAATGTGAAAACAATATTGCACGGGATCCAGGCCGCAGAGAAAATGCCGCGGTACCACATGTGTCAAATGCCGAATAAAAAAAGATTTGGCGAAGCTGGATATGGTGCTCCGGACGGCCAGGCTACTCTCCCAAAAGCGGCAATGGCCATAACCACGACTGTGAGACGGACTTAAGCTATCGGGTAGATGCAGCACACCAAAAGCACTCAATAATTTTGAAACAGGAGCAGAAGGGCGGCCAGGCCTCGCCACAGCCCCATTGACGTGGAAAATCACATCTTCTTGGCCACGGTAAATTGGCCTCGCAAGCTTTGTCGAATTCGTCACTGACCTTACCAGGGGGGCCAGCAAAATCTCCGCGGATCACCTCCCAACCTACCTCGTCCCGCCGCCGACCGCCACCCATGCCAACCTCCATCCAACCTCCATACAATCCAGATCTCAGATACGCATATCGACTGCCCCTGAAGCAGCGGCGGCGACGCCCAACGCCAATACGACCTGTCACCGCAATTACCCAACTAGGCACCGTCGAGCCGACGTTCGGCGCGACCGCATCACTCGCACTCACTCACTCTCACCATGTGCCCTCAGCATCTTCGCCGTTGTGTCGAGCATCCACCCCACATCCATGATCCATCCCGCGCCTGCCTATGGATCCCCCACCGCCCTCGCTCCCACCCGGCAGTAGCGCACCCGCTCCACGCGCCGCGGCCGTCAGCGCCTGCCACCAGCTCAGCACACCCCACACCCCCAAGGCTGCAGCCCGGCAGTCAGGCTCCAGCCCAGCCCTGACAAGTCGCCCAGCCGAGCCAGCCCAGCCCATGCCCATGCCCATGCCCACGACCCACTACCTACTCGCGACCCACGCACCGCACGCCCTGCCAATCCATGCGGCTGAGGCGCAGCGCCAACGGTCCAGCCCTGTCGTCTCTCTCGCCCTACACATGTACGTCCATACACTATCGGCATCTCCCCCTCGCCCATGCCATCACACCTGCCCCATCCAGCCAAGCGCGCCCGCCTCGCCTGCTCTGCCGGCTCCCTCCCTAGGTAGGTATACTAGGTCTGTGCTGCACGCATTGAGCTCGCGCAGCAAGGCGTGATGGAACGCTGCCGCGCGTGGATGGCTACGTGTAGGGACATGGCGCGCGCGTAACTCTGTACCGCGCATGTACCATCTACACAAATGTACACACACGCAGACATTAAAATGCACACAGGCAGCAGCAGCAGCGTGCGTAACGGCCGTAACGCGCGCTGCGCAACTAAATGGGCATAGAGGGCAAGAAAGAGCCGGACAAGGTAAGCAAGAGAGTGGAGCCCGCTAGGCACCTACTGTATGTACCTACCGCCCAGTTCGTCGTCGTCGTCGTCGTCGTCGTCGTCGTTGTTTATGTCCCCAACGCCAGCCAGCCAGTCCCACGCAGCCGCCCTACCTACATACCTGTAAGTTGTAACCTAGGTACCTAGGCATGTACCCACGCGCCGCCGCGCGGGCCGGGGCGTAAGCCGCAGCCGCAGCGGAGCGCTGTGCCCACTCCCTCCCCACACACTGCTCGGTACGTACATACGTACATAGTATCTAGGCGGTAGGCGGCTCGCTGCTAGGGCAAGGCAAGGCAAGGCAAGGCAGGACAAGGCAGGGCAAGGCAGCTGCCCTAGGTAGGTACCTACCTACCTCTCCATCCGAGGAGCGACGCCAGCCTACCATCTCCGCGCCCGCATATTACCGGCCAAGACGGCGGGTTGCGCGGCAGCGGGGCGGCGACGGCGGCGGCTGGGTGCCGCTGTCTGCCTAGAGAGCACCTACCTAGCAGTGGAGGGCGCGCGCCCGTAATCTGTAGGTAGGTACACATCCATGTACGGCCACACACACACACACGAGCGCGGCTGCTCCGCGGAAGCAAGCAGGTAAGTACCTACGTAAGTCCTGCCTACCGAGCCGGCAAGAGAGGTACTTGTTACCTAGGCAGGTATGAGGTACGAGGTATTGCCCAGTCGCGACCGGTGCCGAAAGCGTATATTGCTGTTCGCCGAGCGGAGGGGAGTGGATGGGCTCGTGGATGGAGGGAATGGAATGGATGGATGGGCATCCGGCATCCGCCTGGCATGGCCCATCATCGCTTTCGTGTGCCGAGGGCTTGGGTTGCCCGATGCGTGGATCGGCAGTCGCTGCACCCTGGTTGTGTGCGTTGTTCGGCTGCCGGGGGGGTGGGCGTGTCGGACGGGGGTGGTGGTGTTGTGGGTGTGTGTAGTGGAAAAGAGAGAGAGAGCGTGTGTAGACGGAGGCAGAGAGAGAGAGAGAGACAGATAGACAGACAGACAGTGGCACGGCGAAGGGAGGACCAATGTTGGTTCCAGGTCTTTTTTTTTGTGTATTAGGTTTTGGTACATCGAAGAGCAGCAACTCGCACGCTGTGCTGTGTGCACTGTGGTATAATGAACGCTCAGACGCCTAGCTAGCCGCAGAAAAAAGGTAAAAAAAACCTCCATCAATTTGAGGTTGAGAGGGAAACCCACAAACGACGCGACCAGTGGAGAACGTAAACAAACGAGCCCAGCACAGCAGCAAGTAACAACAAAAGGAAACAGCAAACCCTCAGCGCTCCATTTTGATCCCCCTTCTCACTTCACCGTGCAATATATCGACGAGCCGGCCCAGCGTCCGCGGGTCTCGCGCCGCCAAGGAGAGGCTGTCCCGCCTCACCACACGGCCATCGAGCACGACCTCGTCGCCGACGTCATCGTCTGTCTCCGCGTCTTCCGACGTCAACACCTCGATCGTCTTCTTGAGCTTCTCGTACGCCTGGCCCAGCTCCGCGTGCGACGCCTCGAGCTTGCCGTACTTCTCCGTCAGGCCCGCCAGCTGCATCTCCAGGTCCTTTGCGTGTTTTTCTTTGCGCTCGCGGAACGCCCGCTGCGCGGCGCGGTTCTGGGCCCGGCGGCGCTAATGCATTCATCGTCAGTCAAAAATGGCCTTTGGGTTTGGCTTGCATGCGCTGCCTTCTGCACCCGCGCGTGCTTTATTGGAGGAAAATTAAACTACTGTGGGGCTGGGCTTGGGCGTGTCGGCTGGGGAGCCGCGTGGTGTGGATATGTGCGGTCTGAGCGCGGCTGCTGGCCGAGAATGGCCTTGAGCCCGCCCGCTCCGCTACAGGGGACCGCGAGGGCCAAGAATAGAATGTGGTGAGATTGAGAAAGGGATCAACATACTCCGCTTGTTGTGTGTGTCCGTTCAGGTGCGCCGGCGGCCGTGGCGGCGGCGGCGTGATATTGTGGGTGCGAATGCGAGCGTGCGTGTTGGGCTTGTGGCTGCACCGGTACCGGTGCCGGGGCTTTTGCCTGCTCCGCAGTGATTCGCAGTGGGTAACCAGAGTTTTCGCTTTGCATCGAGTACATGAGCTCGCTGGAGGGTGCCTTAGGGCTGCAGTACGGGCTTTGGTCGTCTGCTGATCCGAAATCACTGGGAGTTACTGGCAGTTGGTACGACATGTTCGCTTCGCCGCTGACAAGGCCAAAGTGCGTGGAAGCGAGGTTCTGGTGGTACAGAGCGGCATGCTGTGATGGTGCAGGTGTACCGTCAAATGTGGTCGAGGTCTGCGCTTCGTTAGTGCCGTCATGGATAATCGGGACGTGGATATTCGAACGGGCAGAAGGCTGAAAGGCAAGTTGAGAAGTGAATGGAAGGCTAGAATGCTTACAGGTGAGGCACTGAGGCTGGGTATGCTAGCAAGGTCCGGAGTGCTGAAGTCGTAGAAGACGGTAGGGTTATATGTGTACGCATCGTTCGTGCGCGGCGGGACCCAGTACTCAAACTGCTGGGACTCCATGGTATTGTATTCGGCCTCGCTGATGGCGGCGATGGTGCGGGCAAGCCGTCGAGGTCGTGGGTTAATAAGCTCGTAGGGCTGATGACAGGATTGAGTGATGCGCGCACTGCAGATCCAGTTGAGTGGAAGCTCCTTGTCGGATATGGAAAGGCCAAACACTATATGAAGGTTGGAGGAAGGACTCGCAGTGATGAGAGCAGCAGGTCGGGACGGGCTGAGGAAGGCTTAAATGAGGCCTTGTGCTTGTAAGGATCCCCTCGCGCGTAGTCTCTTCGAGCATTATGCAGCTCGTAGGGCGGTGTCAGGGATGGTCACCCACCGACGTGCCATTCGCACGAGTGCCAGGGTCGAAGTAGCGATACAACAGTGCCTCTCCCGCCGTGGGCTAACGCGGTGGAGATAGTGCGGGATAAGCACCAGAGCCAGGCAACTGGGGTCCCGAACTCCGCACTAATTCCGGACGACATTGTTCCTTCGAGTGGCGCGAGAGAACCCGCGGCGGGGCGTGTGAGTCGCACCGAGCCGAGCGTGCTGGGCTTGATTGGCCTCGAAGGGCCACACGGCTGCGGGCCGCTCATCGAGACGTGGAGGTGGATTTCGGCTCGAGTCGACAGGTTAAGGCCGTGCGGTCAGCCTTGCAGCGATCAGCATCGCGAGAGCAGCCGGATATGGTGCGTGCTGGTGCCAGGTGCGCCGGCGCCATGCTCTCTCAGGCCTTGGGTGCATGAGGGTCCTTAGTCACTGCAAAACGCCATTACTAACAGCCATGTGCCTGACGTAGGGCAGTCCTCGGGAGGCATCCCTGCATGCCCTCGCTGAGAGCACGAGCTTGCGCTGGTAGGGCTGAAGGTAAGATATTGTCGCCGATGCAACCTGTCCGACCGACCGCAGGAGGACGCTTCGTCGACTGCCCTAAGGCTGACCCTCCGTCCAATATGGTGCGCCCAGAGCCGCAAAGGCATAGCGGGGGCTCTCAGCCGTCATGTTACAAGGTTGAGGCGCATCGAGCGACTGGTGGTGAGCAACTACCCGATAGCGAAGTAGGTTGGTCTCTGAGTGTCCGAGACGGGAAAGGTGGCGCCAAACGCGATCAGCACCGGTTGAGGGGGCGAGATATGACCCATGTACCGACGCGCACCTGCTATGCCACTGAGTTAAAGTACCTATACGAGCGCACAATTGGCGGTGGGATCACATGCCTCGATTGAGCCCGGAAAGCTACCCTGCCATTGCCGACAGAAAGCAGTCATGTGGTAACGCGAGAGGTCGTTCTGCATGCGCCGGCCTAAGCGATGCTGGTCAGCTCCCTGCGAGGCGTCTATCACCGTCGTACCAGCAAAAACTCCTCCTTCACGGCAAGCCTGCAGCATAGACTATACGCAGCTAGCCGGCCCATACCCGGCATGAAGAAAACGCCTTTGGCCGCGCGAAGCTCTGCAAAAAAAGCCGTTGAGCTCCAGCCCCTCCTCGTCGAGATGCACCCACGCCGGCTTCGGGCTGACACTTCGGACTTTACCTAGCGAGCAGCGCCCGAGTAACACCATATGCCAGTGGCTAGAAAGACGCGATCCATGGGCCGATATGTTGCCTATCGAACTACCTGCTTCGCAAGGCTGAACTGGTGGTCAGACGTTCGCATTGGTTCGTGGGGGGGTCTGCTGCCATTGGTTAGCCCTACGACACCGACCAAGAAACGCCAGCAGCTTGCATGTCTCAGGATGACGCCTATTTGGGCCAGGGAGAGGTGAGCGCTTTCCCCACTCTGACTGGCCTCTACTCCGTCATGATTCATCGTGAGTACTCCCTGCTCCTGTCGCATTCTGCAAGTAGATAGGCAAGCAGCAATGTGTTGTCTCCGCCTGGAGACACTATACCGCCTTGAGTCTCCAGGCTCCCAAAGAGTCCGACTACTCCAGACGAAAGCGCATCATGCACCCCCCACGCACAGCAATAAGATTTCGGCGGTCACGGTGTAGGAGTAAGCGGGGTACTGAGGCTGTTGGAAGGTAGGACGTGGATAGATCCTTGCACATTGCATATGCATCTGAAGTTCTGGGTGCTGATTCTTGATAGCCTGGCTAAAAGTCCGTTATTAATACAGACCCTGGACAAGGTTAGAGACCTTGTCATAGAGTTCGCCCTGCTCGGCCCGCGTTGCCCGCTTTGTGATGACAGGCACCTGATCCTCTCCGACCTTGTATTCTTTCAGGGTCGTCGCCAACCCTAGATTCTTGACCAATTCCAGTATTGAGTCTCCCACTTTGGTGGCATCGACCTTGTCGTTCCCAGTCCTGGTTTGCCCTATAAAGGGCGCCATCCTGGCGATCTGCGCGGCACTCTCGGGCTCCTGAGCTTTAAGCTTCACGACATGCCCGAGAGTCAGGCAAGAGGTAATCCCATGCGGGATGGAGTAAGGGGACCCTAGCGCGTACCCAAGCGTATGGCTCAGGCCTAGCCCCCCCTTAACGTTCGTGCCAAGAAGGCCCAGTGACGCAAAGGACGCAAGTTGAAGCTGTGTGATGGTGTCCTCATCCTTCGGGTCGTTATTGTACTTTGGTAGGTAGGTGAACAACCCAGATGCGGCTGACAGACACATCTGTCTTGCGGGGACCTCCGTAGCTGTGGGGTGGTACATAAGCTCCATTGCATGGTCCAATGCTCGAAGACCAGTAGACAACCACAACTTCGGTGGCGTTTCAAGAGCGAACTTGGAGTCGTATATGATGACGTGAGGTGCCAGCTCGGGGTTAGCTACACCCGTCTTTAAGCCATCTTCCTGTGTGTAACCTGCACCGAAGGTGCACTCGGCTGCACTTAAAGTGGTTGGTATAGAAATGTGGTAAAGATACTTCCCCGACTTTTCGTTAAGACGGTAAGAGATGGCCTTGGCAGAGTCGATAGGGCTACCGCCCCCCACGGAAATGACCGTATCAATGTTCGAGTCTTTGGCCACGGCATCGGTAGCTTGGTCCAGCTGTGCGACAGGGGCATGCTGCTTGATGTTGGAGAAGGTTCCGGCATGGTGGTCTTTCCCAAGCAAGTCTTCGATTTGCTTGATAAGAGGGGTTTTCGTTGCCAGAGAGGATCCCGTGATGATGAACGCTTTGGATGTCTTCTTGGGCAGGGACTCAAGAAGATGCTGCTGAACAGAGTTTGGCCCATACCAGAGTTTCTCCAGGTGGATGGGCTTCCACAGGCCGCTCAGCGGGTTTGTCGTTGCCTCAGTCATTGTGTGTTTGAGCCGCTTTCCTAATGTGTTATCCCTGTTTTGGAGTCAGCAGCCAGTCTGACAACCTATGCTGCCCAGATCCCAGTGAGAGCGATAGGGGAGTTTGAGACTGTGCTTCGTGAGCCTCGGCATCATCCGGCGGAATTTTTCCGCGATGCAATGCGACGCAATTGAATCCCGCATAGTTGAGCGAAACACTAACCTGGATGTATGGAAGAGTGTTGCGAAAGACGTCGGGGCGTGGCAGAAGATGGGGGTGTTGCTCCTTTGACATGCGCTCCGCGATGACGCAATGACACTGAAGTAACGGGCGTTCCGCAGGACGAGTTTACACGGGTGTCGTGCCATTGGCTCTCGTCCCCTAAAATAAACCAAACCAGGCTATTTCTAATCAGAGAGAGCTCAGTTTCCGCGTTATCCGTATGGTGTTGTTGGGCTGACGGTGCGAGGGATCTGTCGAGCACGCCTTGCCCCGCCCCAATTTCGACTTCACAGAGGAGCCCAAGATTCTCGAGTCAATTCAAGGACCACCACAAGCCATAGGGGAGGGCTTTTACACTCCGCGGTGAGCTTCGAGGGCCTTTTTGTAGGTGCCCGGAAACGGGATCAAACGCCGGATTTTCCCCGCGGCTGTTGCAGCGCGGGCAGTACCTAACTTGGATATGTAGACTATCAAGCGCACTTCGAGTCGAGCTCTCGTGCCATAATGCTGCAAGTCTAGACCAAGGACACAGGGAATAGCAACTATCGAGCTAGAGCGTGCTGAGCAGTAGTAAGACATGTCTCTGGCCGCACGGCCATGCAAAGACGAGAACTGCCGAGGGTCAAGTGCCGAAGCTATGAGCCCTTCACGACTGCCCAACTTCCGTTATGACTTGCTTCAGATTTGCAAGATCATGCGCAAACCTTCCTAAGAAAAGTCCGTCGACGCCATCTACAAGCTTTGCAAAGGTTCCTGGCCCAGCGCTCCCACCGTAGAGGATCCTGGTTGTACCTCTTCTCTTCGCGGTCATATTTCTCAGCTCCCTTGTCACTGCAACCACATGGTCTGCGTTTGCCGGTTCCTTTGCTCCAATCGCCCAAACGGGCTCGTACGCCAGTATGACCTCAGAATCGTCCGGGACTGCGGCCAGTACCGACGTGACCTGCGGGCGGCATTCCTCGATCGCCATTCCAACGGCCGCCGAAGCGATGGAGCCATGATTTCTCTCGCCGATGCACACTAGCGGTATGAGGCCGTTATTCACGGCAGCTGCTGCCTTCAGGGCGACCTGGTGGTTCGTCTCGCCAAAAAGTCTCCTGCGCTCAGCATGGCCTATTTCGACAATCTTGGCGCCGGCTTGCTGAAGGACCAGCGGGGAGACCTCGCCCGTGTACGGCCCGGCATCCTCCCAGAAGGCATCCTGCGCGCCTAGGATGACCGAGGTGTCTTGCAGGGCCCTGCGAGCCTCGAGGATGGTAACAAAGTCGGGGATGACGAATAGGTCGACGTCGGCACCCTCAGCGTGTGCAGCGAGATCGGCGACTCCCTTGATGTAGGCGAGAGTTTCGGGTAGGTCGAAATACATCTTCATGCTGGTGCCGACGATGCGGCGCGGGCGCGCTGGAGCTGACATGGTGGGGTTAGTTGGTTGTGCGAGAAGAGGTCGTCAGCCGGCGACAAAAGGGAGGCAGCAGCTTGCGAGCCCCGCAGAAGATCTAGGAAAGCTGCATCAGGCAAGCCGAGGCAAAGACAGGGTGTCGCAGCGAGATTGGAGCAGCATCGCCAGACACGCCCTCACGCCAGCGACGAATACTGGGGGAGCTGGGGAGCGACAGCGGAGAAGTCCGAGCGCTGGCCTTGGCTGGAATGGCCGTAGCGGGGAATTTTATGGCCCCGCGACCTTGGACTTCCATGACCTTCATCCTCCACTCTGCCCTTTGCTCCTGCGCTCCTCTCCTCTCTTCCATCATCTCTACCTCCCGGTACATGCAGCGTCAGCTGGCAGATCGTTGGGCCCGCGCCAGATATTTTGGTTAATAGGCAATTGGGGCGACCTTGCTGCTCCTCCCGGTACCGGCGCCAACTCCAGTAAGTCGCCGTATCTTTTCACTCGTCAGCCGAGCCGCATCGCAACGTCGCTGACTCTCCCTGTTGAAGTCGCTTTCGCATTCACCTTTGCTTTTCGCTGTCGCCGTCGTTGCCGCTTTCGCATTTGCCTTCACATTCGCCTTCGCCTTCGCAATGCACATCTCGCAGAAGCTGGCCGAGGGCCAGAAGAATGGCAAGCCATCCTTCTCATTTGAGTTCTTTCCGCCCAAGACCGCCCAGGGCGTTCAGAACCTCTACGACCGTATGGACCGCATGCATGGCCTGGGTCCGACCTTCATCGACATCACATGGGGCGCCGGTGGTCGCAATTCGCACCTGACTTGTGAGATGGTCAAGGTTGCTCAGTCAGTGTACGGCTTGGAGACCTGCATGCACCTGACCTGTACCGACATGGAAAAGTCCAAGCTTGACGATGCCTTGAAGCAGGCCTACCATGCCGGTTGCAAGAACATCCTCGCGCTGAGAGGTGATCCACCCAGGGAGAAGGAGAAATGGGAAGCGACTGCCGGTGGCTTCCGGTACGCCAAGGATCTTGTCAAATACATCCGGGATACGTACGGCGACCACTTTGACATTGGTGTCGCGGGTTACTCCGAAGGCTGCGATGACCAGGATGACCCGGAGCTCCTGCTTGAGCACTTGAAGGAGAAAGTCGACGCCGGCGGTACTTTTATCGTCACACAAATGTTTTACGACGTTGACATTTTCCTGGACTGGGTTAAGAAGGTGCGCGCCAAGGGTATCACCGTGCCTATTATTCCCGGCATCATGCCCATCCAGACCTACGCTGCATTTATGAGACGCGCAAACTGGACCAAGTGCAACATCCCTCAGGACTGGTTAGATGCTCTGGAGCCTGTCAAGAATGACGACGCCGTCGTTCGTGAAGTTGGCAAGGGCTTGGTCGCCACGATGTGCCGTCGGCTCATGGACGCCGGGATCATCCACTTGCACTTCTACACTATGAACCTGGCTCAATCTACGCGCATGGTTCTGGAGGAGTTGGACCTTACTCCTGATGTTGAGAGCCCTATTGAGAAGCCGTTGCCATGGAGGCAGTCTCTTACGCCCGGTCGTCGCGAGGAGAATGTGCGTCCGATCTTCTGGAGGAACCGCAACCGATCTTACGTCGTGCGGACTCAGGACTGGGATGAGTTTCCCAACGGCCGTTGGGGTGACTCGAGATCCCCGGCCTTTGGTGAGCTGGATGCTTATGGCATCGGGTTGAAGGGAACCAACGACCAGAACATCAAGACATGGGGCAAACCAAAGTCGGTCAAGGACGTCGCAAACCTCTTCGTTGCGTACGTGGAAGGCAAGCTCGAGAGTCTCCCGTGGAGCGAACAACCAATTACCAGCGAGGCCGATGATCTCAAGCCGGATCTGGTCAATCTCAACCAGCGCGGCCTTTTGACCATCAACTCCCAACCTGCTGTTGACGGTGCCAAGTCATCGCACCCCATCTACGGATGGGGACCGCGCAACGGTTATGTCTACCAGAAGGCATACCTTGAGGTTCTTGTTAACCCGGAGCTAATCGCGGAGCTCATCACGCGGATTGAGCGTGATCCCGAGCTGACCTACTATGCCGTGAACAAATCCGGAGACCTGAAGACCAACGCTCCCGGCGAAGGTCCGAACGCCGTTACCTGGGGCGTCTTCCCGGGCAAGGAGATTGTGCAACCGACGATTGTCGAGACGATCAGCTTCCTCGCATGGAAGGACGAGTTTTACCGCCTCGGCCAAGATTGGGCGCAGTGCTACACGTCTTCCAGCCCCTCTCGCTACCTGATTGAGGACTTGATGGACACGTGGTACTTGGTCAACATCGTGCACAACGACTTCCACGACTCCAAGGGCATCTTCGAGCTGTTCGACGGGCTCGAGGTTCCCGACGTCGAGAAGCAGCCCCACGGAGCCGAGGAAGTGCAAGTGAATGGTGGTGGCCCGGTGAACGGCGTTTCCAAGCCGCTGGCCAACGGTGCTACCAATGGCGCCAATGGCGCCAACGGCGCTACCAACGGCGAAGCTAGGGTTCCCGACACGATAGTCAACCTAGAAAGCACGTCGGCGATCCAGAAGGGTGCAGAGAGCACCGCGGAGCCCAAGCACGAGACCGAGGCCGGCTGGGCCAAGAAGGAGTAGAGCCAGCCATGTTGCCAACGACGATATCTATTATCTCCCTTTCCAGGTCGAGATACCCCATTTCAACATTGCATTCAGCGTCGGAGTTCCAGGAGTTTTCAACAAAGAGAGAGAGTCTACACCAAATACTAGGCAAGCGGCGTCGGGCACACGGAAGCTAAAGGAAGGAGAAAAAAAAAAAACGCTTTAACAGCATTTTTATTCGCATTCAACATACCCGACAACACAAAAAGACGCATGCATGGACAAGCCAGGTGTGTGCGTGTGTGCTTGTGTGTGAAAGAGAAAAGGCAAACTACTCCAACATTGTTTGCTTTCCTTTTTCTTTTTACCAACGGGGGGAGTTTGCTTACAGGGGGAAAAGGAAAGGGAAAGGGAATGGAAAAGGGAAAATTTAACACAAAGGACGGACAGGAGGCGCCAGCGTCGTATTTTCAACATCCGGACGAAAGGAAAGGTTTCACGAGCTATGAGGCGATGACGGCTGTTGTATACAGAAAACACATAAAACAAAAATGAGAAGGGAAGGAGGTGGAAATGTTTATTTACACACACTTCGCTTTTTTTTTTTTTTTTTTTTTTTTTTTTTTTTTTTTTGTGATTTTCTGGGTGTTGGTTTCGTTGTTCCTTTT